CGTACCTGAGATGCAATAGATAGAAATTATTGCATCGAACAATTTTTGTTGCGTTAGCATTGATTTTTTATGCAATATGTAGGTGGTATTGCACCGGTTGAGAATATGGGTGCAATTAGGAAGTACTATTGCAACAGATTGATAGTACTAAACTCTGATGCAATATGTGATTTTTATTGCATCGGTTCAGGATTGTTTTGATGAAGTAAATTGTCACTATTGCATCGAAAGTTTTATTTTGCAAGAGGCTAAAACATATCGGAGGGCCCAGGAAAAGACACGCAAATTTGACTTTTATAACAATACTAGCTATTGCAAGATCGAACAAATATTGCAGTGCAATTGTTGCATGACAATAGAACTAATTGCCACCTACTATGTTCCATTGCAATAAGATCTTCTGCAACGGAAACCGTTTTGTGGCTATATCCGTAATTGCCACATAATGCATGATTGCATTAAGTTGTTTTGCCACGCAAATTGTTTCGTGGCAAGATATTATATCGCAACAAAATATTGGTGGTTGTGAATAAAGGGAAGATTTTTAACAACGCCTATCGCTTTTGTTGTTGCAAAAGAACTACCAAAATAGAGATTGCTGCACTGATATGAAATCAATTCATCATTTAAAATGTGAATGCCGATGTATATAGCACAGAAGAATTTTAATTGAATCTCCAAAAAAAATATACTGTTCTTAACTACTTTTACAACAAAAGTATTCTATAATCTATCTTGTGTTGGCCTTGGGCATAGTTTGTTTGTCATTGTAGAGTTGCTTGATTTGACCATGCACATTATATAATATGAGAGCAGTAGGAATTCCTAGTAAGCCGGAGTCACTACTAGATTCCTGCATTTATAAGAACATTGCATTAGCATACAAAGGAGATATGAGTTGCATACTGCAAACAGAACAAATTGAAGTGAGAAATTGTAAGATTCTAAAAATAGATATCTACTATCTATTTTTGAGCTAACTCACACTAGTTCTATCCCATACCTGTCATTCACAATTGATTAACCTTCTAATATGTTAATAAAGTATTAGCATTTGAAAACCCAAATCAATTTTCACAATAGCAAAGCTCATTTGGAGTTTGTACTATAGGAACTTAGAGATAGACACCCTGAGTGACAGGTGCAATGCATTTTCCATCTCTTACTAGAGATAATTTTCATTTTAGCATACAAAAATTGCTTAAGGTTTCTAATATTGCCAGTACCTCAGAGAATGAAAAAGACTAACATGCCAAGCACAAACTTGTGTACCAAAGAGCTACCCTGAGTTGGTTGTTGCACCAGGAAACTTGAGATAGTCAATAATTCAACATGTGTTTCCCAAACCCAGCACATAGTTTGACTTCTCAGTATCCATTTTATAGCAGCCCTAGGTGCATAATAAAAAAATAAAAACAAGGAAAAACAGATTACCTTGACGGCTATTATGGCATGATTAAGAAGAAGCAGCAGGTTGGGGTGAAACCACACAACTTTAGGGTAATAATGTAAGATAAATGCATTTTGCTAACTCAGGTTACCAAAGAACAAAGACGGCTACCAAACGTAACTAATAGAGATTAATCATGTTTATCACTTGGTTACCTTGTTGATGCCAAATTACTGTAATGGAGATTATCATTTTTATAACTTGGGCTACCATGCAAATTGACCGTACTAGAGATGATCATGTCTGTATTCACTACAAGCAAAGTGTACGAACATCTGATCTATTCAGCAGACATGAGGGAGGCATGTATACTGAAAAGATCTTCTTAGTATGCATATTGTTAATTAAATCATAATATTTCTATATTTGCTAGCATATAATAAGCTTCCTCTCGGTCCATGTCTTAAAATAATGGTAGTTAAAATGCAATGTCTGAGCAAACGGATTCTTGGAACAAAGCACCTGCCAAGAAAGCACTATATTTAAATCCAGTGTCCATGTAGCATATTGTTCACATTAGAAGACTAAAGTACTGCCTAAATGAGAAAACATTTCATCAAGAACAAATGGATGTATTCTTAATAACTTCATAGCTGTAGTACAGCAGCTAGGTGTTTTCAGTCTAACCAATATGCAAATTCCCAAAACTAATTGGCCTTGTTTATAAATGAATTGGAAATTAAGAAATAATATCACTGGGTGATAGGAATTGATGCATGACTACCTGGCTGAAAGTAATTGGCATGTGGAATAACACTAATACAAGAGCAACTTTTAGATAGATTCGCTTGCTCAGTGACAGAGTTCAAACAGTTGTAAAGAACTAGAGCTACATTCTACAGAGCTCAGATCAGGATGCTGCTTAACGGCAAATCAAAGATGTTCAAAAAAGAGATCAAATGTGCGAATTCCGAATTACCAACAACTGTTGTACTGACTCTGACAGCCATAAATATTACCAAAGAAAGAATTACATTAATATCCTTGTCAAGCCTGGGAATGTTCCTTCATTTTGAGTCCCCAGAATTCTGCACCTACAAAAGAGAATGCACATAGCCCAGTATATATGTGAAAACGTCAAAGAGTATCTGCCAAAACATCCAACAGAACAAAAGAAGTTTAAATAACACTTCTATATAGCTCTACATTAAACATATTTTGGTAGCTTTCAGACTGCACAAATGAAACTGAATCGGAACCATTTCTACAAAAATTGAACAAGTGCTAAAGGAAGTGAAATACTAGTGCCGTAGGAACGTAACCAATCAAAGGCAAACCAGCGGTCATCTCCGCCGGCAGGGGCGGCATCAGCGCCGGCATCCGCGTCGTCGGATTTTGAGGCAACGTCCGGGGAGCAGGGCTTGCGCGATAGGGATGCCGCGACCATGCCTTCCGAGTCGCGCTGCGGTCGTTAGCCACCGAGGCGAGCACAGCAGCAGCAGACCTAGGGTTAGGGTTGCGCGGAGACATCTTGGAAGGAAATGGGAGAAGACGGAGGGTGGTGACCATGTTCGGCTCCGCGTCGGATGACTCAGATGCTTGACCCCGAGGCCGCACCGGCGGCGGCGGCCGAGCGCTTCGGTGCCATGACGGCGGGGAGAAGGAGCAGGCGAGCCTCGGGAGAGGGGCAAGGAGACGAGAGGGACGAGGAACAAGAGAAAATTGCTGAGAGGGACGAGGAACAAGAGAAAATTGCAATTATAGGATATTATAGGATTTCAAACATCGATTTTGCTAAAACGACTCTTGAAATGTTGGCACTTTGTTATACATGACATTTGATCTTTTTAATCACTTTTCTCAACTAAAATACATGTATTTTGTCATGATGTGACCGTATTGCCTTCAGGGCTTCAATTGACGTAGGATGGGGCTGCTGGCCGCTCGCCTGGCCTGCCTGGCTGGCCGCGGTCTGGGCTGGCTGGCCGGCCGCGCCTGGGCATGGCTCACCACGCCCTTGGCTGGTTGGCCGCCGCAAGGGCATGGCTGGCCGGCGCCTGGCATGGCTCATCGGCTCATCTCGACGCCGTGCGCAGGCTCATCGGTCCATGCCCGTCGCGCCAGACGCCTACACGTACACGCCACTGATCCGCGTGCTCTGTGACCGCGGAAGGGTCGCCGACGCGCTCAGCTTGCTCGACGATATGCTCGGCCGTGGGTGCCAGCCCAACGTCGCCACCTACACTGTGCTCTTGGAGGCCATGTGCAGGAACAGTGGGTTCGCGCAGGCCATGTCAGTCCTTGACAAGATGCGTGCAAAGGGATGCACGCCCAACATCGTCACGTCATCATCAATGGCATGTGTAGGGAAGGCCGTGTTGATGACGCAAGGGAGCTCTTGAACAGGTTGCCCTCTTATGGGTTCCAGTCCGACACTGTCAGCTATACCACCCTCCTGAAGGGCTTGTGCACTTCTAAGCGGTGGGATGACGTTGAACAAATGACGGAGCATGTGTGCGCCACCAACACTACCTTGTGCAATATTGTCAGAAACTCAATTTGCAAACAAGGCCGGGTTGACGATGCCTTTATAAGTTTTTTTTAGGAAACTGAAGGGGCCAAGGCCCCTGCTGAGAATTTTATTAGCTGAACAAGAAGAGTACAAATTACAGACAAAAGAAAGGCAAACCAAAACTACTGAGCTTTACAGAGCTAAACAGAGTAGCTTCAAGAAACAAAGGAAACAAAGAATAAAACTAACACCCTGATCAATTATAGCTGCTGGATCCATTGGTCATAAGTTGCAGACAGACTTGCTTTCACCCTTAGGGAGACACAAGTTTTGCTTCTTTAAAAAAATAAATCTTGCACTCCTAAATGCCAACTTGATTATTATTGAAAATAAGCTCATTCCTTGCCTTTTAGATTGTCCAACTCATAAGGATGACAGCTACCATGAAGAATTGACTGTGCATTTGATCTTTGATAGCCATTACATTTTCAAAAGTTCCTCCTGTTTGAATTATATTTAGATTTAAGAGACCCCAACACTGCTGAGCAAATGGACAGTGCCAAAACAGGTGATCCACTGTTTCTTCCACCATCATTGAACAAATTTCACAGTTGTATGTCTCTAGAGCCATATGCTTTCTTCTTAGAATGTTCCTTGCGCTTAGCCTATCTTTTAGCAGTAACCAAAAAAATACCTTGTGCTTCGGCTGACAGGATGATTTCCAGAGCCACTTGAAGGCTGGGTCAATTTCTTGATGTCCTAGTAATTTTCTATAAGCCACTGCAGATTTGAATTTAGATGCACCCCCAGAGTATGTCCAGACATCATTGATACCCTCATTTATAACTGTATTCTCTATCCTATGCTGGATACTTAAGACTTGATCAAAGGCCACTTGAGATAAAGGTAAAGCAAAAAGTTCAGTGAATTCACCTTCACTGAAGGCATTTTTCACAGGAAATGTGTTTATTCTTAGCAAAAGAATATGCATGAGGGAACTGTTCATCAAGCTGACAGTGTCGGGCTGGAACCTATAAGAGGGCAACCCGTTCAAGAGCTCCCTTGCGTCATCAACACGACCTTCCCTGCACATGCCATTTATGATGACGTGACGATGTTGGGCGAGCATCCCTTTGCACGCATCTTGTCAAGGACTGTGAACCCACTGTTCCTGCACATGGCCACCAGGAGGCCAGTGTAGGTGACGACGTTGGGCTGGCACCTGCGGCGGAGCATATCGTCGAGCAAGCTGAGCGTGTCGGCGACCCTGCCGCTGTCACAGAGCACGCGGATCAGTGGTGTGTACGTGTAGGCGTCTGGCGCGACGGGCATGGAGCCGATGAGCCTACGCGCGGCGTCGAGATGAGCTGATGAGCCATGCCCAGGCGCCGGCCAGCCATGCCCTGGCAGCGGCCAGCCATGCCCAGGCGCGGCCGGCCAGCTAGCCCAGACCGCGGCCAGCCAGGCAGGCCAGGCGAGCGCCCAGCAGCCCCATCCCACATCAATTGAAGCCCTGAGGGCAATACGGTCACATCATGGCAAAATACATGTATTTTAATTGAGAAAAATGATTAAAAAGATCAAATGTCATGTATAACAAAGTGTCAACGTTTCAAGGATCGTTTTAGCGAAGTCTATGTTTGGAGTCTATAATAGCGAAGCGGATTGTTTCGCGTCCTATAATTACAATTTTCTCCGAGGAACGAGGGACTGAGGGGCTTCGGAACTGCGGAGTGTGGACTTGACTTAGTGGTGCACCGTACCAGATTTGACGTTTTTTGGATTTCACATTGGCGGTAAACTTGGCCGCCAAATTTTTTTGTAAAGTATTTTTTTATATCTAACCAGTAAATATGTCATTTTGGGTTTGCAACATAATGTAATACATAAAGAAATTAGATTTCATATCATCATTAGACAAATGTTGTTCTAACTATTATAAGTGCACATCATACGAGCCTAGGTCACATACGAGATTCGAAGGCTAGGTATAAATCTAAATACAAAACAAATAAACTAATTTTGAATTCGCTTTCGGATATCAGGATCCCAGGCATCCTCACTTCGTCGGATACGAATCCGAATACAAAACGAATAGCTGAACTAATAACCTAAAATAGAATACGTAAAAAGATAGTACAAATCTTCAAAGATAGTACAAACCTAAGCGATATAGTTGAACTAATCTAAACGATGCAATTCGCTGGCCACCGGCGCGACTCGCTGGCTCCGGCGTGGCGCGCGAGCTCCACGGCGCGAGTTCCCGGCGGGGCGCGAACTTCCTCGCCGGCACGCCCGCTGCCGTGCACCCGCTGACATCCGCCTGCCTGGCGCGGCTCGCCGGCCCCGGCGGCGCGGGTCTGCACTCTGCAGCCGGCTCGCCGTTGGCTTCTTCCCCGGCCGGCTGCTCCTTCCCCTTCCCAGCCAGCTGCCTTTTCCCAGCAGCCGGGGTCTTCTTCTCCAGCGACGGTCTCCTACACAGCCGGCTGCTTCCAACGATGCTCCTCCCGGCCGCGTCGTTCCCCCGCGACGACGTTGTTTCCATGGCCGAGTTCGTCGATGGCAAGAGGAAGAGGATGACATGTGGGCTCCACATGTCACTGGCTACTAAACTGAATTTGAGAGCTAAATCATTTAGGTAGTACTGCTGACGTTGAAAGCAAAATTAAGATAAGATGAAAATAATGATGTAATATGACAACGAAGATTCGAAAGAAACAAGCGTGAGTTCAAGGTCATGTGTTTAAGAAACATATATTTTATATTTAGTGTTTTTTTATAAATGGCATGGTGGACTTATAATTACAAGTACTGCTTTCGACCATTTTTTTTTATAGTTGCATCAAAAAATAATTCATATATTTTCTATAACAAGTCTGATGAAGACAAAAAAAAAATCCATGCGCAATGTGTAGTAGGGATACCATTTTCACCAACGGATTATTAGCTCAGTGCTAAAGTCACTTTTCTTTCTCATGTGTTGTTCAGTTGCAGTATCATGATATTATTTATTCTGTACAATGCACGAGCATTTATTTAGTATATTGAATAAAATTGTACTATTTCCATTATGAGAGTATGATCTTAGTGGTAGACTCTCTTATTTGTACCTAGAGGTTTTAGGTTCAAGCGCCCTTTTGCAATTTTTTTTTCTTTTTTTACGCGCAGCTGTTGCTAATGGGCAACATTAGAATTTGTAAAAAAAAAAAATCAAAACTCCATAAATAAAGAACAAACGTGATGCTAATTATATTACATCTTTTTTACAACTAGGGTAACAATGTAAGAACATAACCCACACGTTGCTGCGGAGACTGCAAAGAACTTTGGAATAAAATTAAGTAGAGATGACATGGATAACTTGCATTGTGATGTTGAAATCAGTGGGATGACATGACCAGTAGTGGAGATGACGAGGATAGTTAGTGGAGGATGATGTGGGTGGCTTACATGTTGAAATACATTTATAGTGGGATTAACTTTATAAGAGATATAGATATAAATTATTCAAGCAAGATACTCCTGAGATATGGTTGTTCATGGGATGGGAACAACTTTCTTACATGTGGCAGAATGAATAGAAATATGGAACATAAGAATTGAAAAGCTCATTTTTATTTATGAGTAATTACCTGTTTCAATCAGAAAGCTATAAGTTAATTCTAGGTGGGCATTTCAACATGGTGTCCACTACACTCACATTGGTCCTGTTCGTTTATCTTATAATTCATACTTTTCAGCTTGTTTTTTTTTCCAGTCGGAACAATATTTTTCTCTCACAACAAATCAGCCTAAACAGTGTTTTGGCTTATTTTTTTTAGCGAAGCGAACGGGGCCATTACTCATCAAATATCACATTGGGTGAGATTGAGAGTGCTGCATAGTTGATTTGCATCTTGTGGCACTAGTTGAGAGTGATGTCTGTTTTTTTTGTTACTCTTTGGCATGATTGTTGTCATCTAGCCGCCTTGGAGTTGATTGAGATTGTCGAGCACTACATGGTGATTGTGCCAGGGCTCCGATCAAGCTTGTGAGATACTAATGATTTTTTATCTTTGTTATTTGCTTGTGCTTTTACATCCTTGTTATTTTCTTCTACGGTTGTAGTTGGTAGAAATAGCTAGTTTAGTTGCTTCACTAGTTTAGCTAGACTATAGCAATATGTTAGCCTCTTTGTTTGATTGAGTGCTCTAGTAGTTGTTCAAGGCTTGCTAGTAGACTTGTGTAGGAGGCATGCATTGGGTGAATTAGCCTAGGCAAAGTAATGGCTATTAGACTGTCTCCAATAGGAGACGCATAAGAGCACCCAAACGTAAAATGGGTCTCCGACAATACTATATCGGTCTCCAACAGAGTACCTATATAGGAGACCCATTTTAGGTGCTAGGAGAGGCACGACCTAAATATGAATATCCTCTCTCCTGTAGACCCATTTTCAGAAAGGGTTCTATTTTGAGTCTTATTGTTGGAGAAGACAAAAAAATAGGTATTGAAATTGTCAGGTTCATAAACCCGGGGTCCCTTGGGAACCGGCTTCCACGCCAAGGCTCGACCCGAGAGTAAAAAAACAACATGGCAAAGGGGCGGTCTAGCAACCGACCGGAAGGCCTGGCCCAAGAAGAGCAACGCCCGCTCATTAGCTACTTCAGCCCACCTATCCGACCGGAGCGCTCGATTCGGGCTCCAGCTGCCTCCGGACGGCCTCTCCGATCGGAAGGCCTACCCCAGCCCTACTTCCGACACTCGACCCCGCTCTCCGATCGGGTATGTAAGAACCCCGTCCGCTTCTTCTTCGACTAAGCGAACTGAAGCCGATGGGGCCATCCGACCGGGGACGCCCGCTTGGAAGGGACCAGGGATGAACGGAGAAGGCAGCACGCGAGTAAAACCACAGGACATGGACCATACCAGACACTTCCACGGAAAAGTGCTCCACAAGCACCGACATAAAACAGATTGTAGCGCGACATTTATCCCTATAGTATTGTAGGCGCCGTTGGACTCCTGCACGGCAAAAGCCCGCACATGCCCTCGGGCATCAATAGTGTTGTAGGCGCCGGGATTCACCATGCCCGGTAAAACATGGTGAGGCTCCTCACGTGCCTCTGGGCAAGCAGGATTTTGCAAGTACCGACATCAACCCTTTCTGAAGAAGACAACGCAACCTCCCACGTGCACCTGATATTCTACTGGTGACATCAATAGTGTTGTGGGCGCCTACCATTATCCAATCCTCACTGGCAGTGGGCAACAAGGCTTAAAAGCATCCGTGCATCTCTCCCTCTCACTCAGCAAAAGCCATCCCCTTCATCTATAAAAGGGGATGCACTCCCTCCAACAGGAGGACGGATGATTTCATTCAAGCTCAGTTCCTTTAGATTCACTAGTCCAATAGCTCACAACCACATAACCGCCAGGTTCGGACCTCAAGCACACGCTTGAACACTTAGCTCATAGTGGAGTTTCACGCTCGCCCAGGCCCTTCCTACCGGGAGCCGACCGCCTCGGTACCCCATCTTTCTCCTTCTCGTTTGTAACCCCACTGCAGACTTTGAGCACCTAGGCTCAGGAATAATAGTCACCGAGCGACCCAAACTGGACGTAGAGCATGTTGCCTAAACTAGTATAAATCCTGTGTCATTGAGTGCTAGGCCACCTCTGATTACAACGCAAACAAAACTACAAAATATCCGCTCATTGAATCTCCCATACCTCTTCTTTGGGATGCGGGTTCCACCTGCTTTTTGAGTCATCCCAGCCTTCCTTCGAAGCTCGACTTCGCCGACCGACCGGCTCGGCACCTCCACCTCCGCGTGAGGAGACTCGTGACTGGCACCCCGCTTGAGAGATGTCCTCCATCGACTCTGGGATGCGTGACTTCGACGGCGTGGCATCTGTGCTTCATTCCGAGCAAACTCTCTGCTCAAACCCCACTGTAAGTAATACGTGTACTCTTATTCGCCCTTTATTTACTATCTCACACCGATCAACCGGAGGGACTGCACCGATTACACCACAAACACCGTACTATCGGTTCCCCTATGGCCTCACGTCCTCCGCGGACGCTTACGCTCAAGGGCCCCAAAGGGCGCTGGCACCATCCCCACTCACGTCTGAATTCGTAGGAATGGCAGGCTTCACTCCTGTCATTTCCCATGAACTCCCGGATAATGAGGGAGAGAGCGACGGTTCCAGCATCGGTGATGTGGCGCCCCACCAACATCCGTCCCGGGAGTGCGCTATGGCGGACCATCCAGGACAGCCACCGGTGGTTGTGGAGTATGCACAAACTCACACCTCTCCGGACCCGCGTGCGGAGGCCCTCGCGTCTG